TCAGCTTAGGATTGTGGCATCACTTAAGTACAGTTGCTTTCCCCAGCTCCCTTAGGAAAGAGATCACTTGGAATACGCAGATTCCTCAGGCCATTACTATACAGACGGAGTGAGGCTCATTCTGTCAATTCTGACACAGACTCAATCAAGGGCACTAGTTATAAACATACCGGCTCCAGGTATGTAATGTAATATATTTTTTAGACCACCTTATGTTTCTACTGATCGCTAATCTATTTCTCCATTATTCTAGAATATCCTTCATGCTTTAACTATCTGTGGTTTATCTCAGAGCTCCCTGGAATCTTTTGCTAGAGCTCATTCTATTTCTTTACTACCCTGATTTTCTGATAATATCAAGTCACTTTCATTCAGTTCCATGTTTCTCTCTCTCTGTCTCTCTCTCACCCTGTCCTTTTCTCTTCTCTTCTCTTCTCTCTCTCTCTCTGTCTCATTCTCTCTCTCCTACACAGAAACACACACCATTGGTACTAAGTCCTGTGGGAAGTATAAAACAAGTTTATAATCACCTCAGACTGATTTGTGGGGCTATTAACGTTGAGTCAGAAACTATTATTCTTTTTTCTCTTTTTTCCTTATTAAGAGAACACCAATTTTGTTTGAAACATCTACTAATCTAACTTGAAAGCAATCTTTTCCAGCCTCCTCTCTTGCTCCTATGAGTGGCCATATAAAAATTCTGGGCAAGACGACACAGGAAGAAGTCTTCTGAGGATTTCTGAGAAATCTGCTTTCTTGATATAGGCTCTATCCCTTCCTCCTTGTCCCTCTTACATTGTGCCTGAAATACAGAATGATATCCAAGATATTCGCTGATGCCATCATCAGAATGGGTTCAGAAACCGTCCTTTCAAGTTTCATATAGGCTGGCCATGTTTCTCACAGCTTGTGGAACTGCTGCAATTTGGGGTAGTTTATTTAAAAAGTAAAATATAGACCTGAATCCCAGGTACTATAGTGTAAAAATTTGAAAAAAAATTTTTTAAAAATTTGATTTCTCTGATCTCTGTGACTAGAAGCAAAATGATGTGACTCCATTTTCAGGTGCAAAATACAATCAATCATACCACCAATACAAGGAGAGACACCCCTGCCCCCAGATTAAATCTTCTCAGACTCTAGTTTAATCTCAAAAGACGATAGTCAAAAGACTATACATTTTTTTAAAAAATGCTTCAACTGCAAAGATAAAAGGTAGGCTGAGATAGTTTGGTCATCACAATAACTTATACTCCCTTCTGGGAAGTGACTTCCCAGCTAGGGACATTTCTCAGCCTTCTATGGCACCTCGGTGGAGCTATGTGATTATTTCTCCCCATTAAAATATAAGCCAGTCCTGTGTGTCACTTCTGGGTTGAAGAGGTAGCGGTAATTCTTCATGATGTCTTTTTCCATCCATTGGTTAACTCTGAATACCTAGAGGCAAAAGGATCCACAAGACAGAAGGATCTGGGATCCACAAACGATCACACAGAAGGCCACCTACCCACCAGGACCCACCACATAGAACTTGGCATGAGTAAGGCAGACAATTTCATTGTGCTAAGCCAGCAGGACTTTCGGGTGTATTTGTTGCTAAAGCTAGTGTTACTCTAATTAATATAAAGGAGAAAAATGAAAATCGTATGTTTTACTGAGTTAAACCTGAGTGAAGTGAAAAAGTACTAAAGTGATTGAGCTGGCCTAGAAATAATTAAATTTTCTGCCATTGGGCAAAAATGGGACATTAAAATAGAAATTAATTTTTAGGAAAATCAAGAAAGGTATAGTTGTGTTCTCCCTTGAGTTTTGTGACTTGTAAAACCCATACCTGCCAGTTACTAAGTATATTTTCATTTTGCTGTCTCCAGTTATGCTGGATAGAGTCTGCTTTTCTGCAAATTTCCCCTATTTATTCCTGCAAGAGAGTGAAATGAATACCATGTTCCATACGGCTTTTTAGTGTAGCAGAGGCTAGTGCATTATTCAATTGTTTTCTGAATAGGTTATTTCAAGGTGATTGCGAGTTGGGTTCACAAGTCAACTATCTTCCATATAAAAGTTGAGTTTAATAGAAATGAAGAATATCATCATTTTTACTTTAAAATTAGAGAGCTTCTGTTCCAGTCTACCCAGGAACCCTCTACAAGTTTAAAGTAAAACTTTTGGTTTGAGAGATCATCTTGTTCCAGGTCCTTTAAAAGATGTCGGTATTATTTCTTGTCCCAAGGGGAAGAACAGCGTCTGACTTAGAGAGGCATTCTTGCAATCTAATTGCGAGGACACCTTGTAAAGTCTTTCTACGGCCCAGCAGGAGAAGCCACATGCTTTTCACTCTAGCTGATTCCAGCAAGATAACAGGTAGAACTGAAAAAATGAAGTAAAAGCCTCTTTTCTAAATTAGCGAGACATCATTTTACTTACTATTTGCAGAAATTTCAAGGTTTAGAACTTCAATTCAGTGCCCATGTATTCTTCTGTAGTGAGAATCTTTTCAGAAAGAAACTACTTTAGACAAGTTTATTTTGGGAGTGAAATGGCAAGGGGATTATTTTCCCTTTTTCGTTCTGAAAAGTTTATCCACAGCTTTCTCTTTGCATACGTTTGACTACGGTGTAGTTATAAATCCATCTGTTACCCAAGTAACATTCTACTTCAAAAGCAGGATAATTTTTTTCCATAGAAGACCTAGGTATAAAATGAGAAGACTTTTCCTTCTTTTGGAAGATAAATCAGCTTAGACTAAATGATTATGCTTTAGGATTTTACCAGAACTACCAACTCTACATGATAGAGAGAATGAATATTGGGAAAGAAAACCCCTTTGCCTTAAAAACACAACCCCAACTTTATTGGGGGTGACAACTGGCTCAGCTAAAACCACCATTATTGTAGACTCCCCCCCAGGAGGGGTGGCATTTTTCACAGTTATGACCCAGTAGATGTAAGTCAGTCTCTAGGTGATTTCTGGGAAAACTCTTGGAGAAAGGCACATGCATTTGGCCTTTTGCGCTTCCTGTCCTTCTGCCTGGAATGGAGTCAGGATGCTGGAGGTGAGGCAGCCATTCTAAGACCACATGGCAACAAATAAGATGAAAGCCAAGTGCTGAGGATGGCTAAGAGGAAGGAAAAATGAGCTGAGGTTCCTGAGGACTGAGGGTCTGCGAGGACTAAGTCCTACCTTAATGTCATTTGACTCAACTTAATGTCTCTTGAGAAAAACAAAACCTCTATTTGATTAAAACTGGTGAAAGTTGAATTATCTCTTATGAGCTTCCAAACCTATACCAAGTTGATCCAAGGAGAATGGTAAAAAAAATTTTATAAGAACAGTTTCCAAACAAGTATTTCAGAAGCATTCAGTTACTTTAATTATTCTTACTTGGATTACTAAACTGGTATATTCACAAATCATTTTTATACATTCCTTAAAATGACTCCTTCAAGGAACTCTACTAAGCAATAACATACACAACTCCCATACTTGGATCCGTATGAATCACCCCTCCATTGATTCATTCAGCAAACATTTATTGAGGGCCCAGTAAGCACTGTCCTGGGGGCAGGGATACAAGGACAAAAAGCAAGTGCCTGAGTACAGGAGTCTCAGCTTACTTGAAAGTAATGCCAAATCTATTTTAAAACATTCTATTCTCCAGTTCTTTGCTTCCTATGGGTTGCTTATTTCATGCACATTAGCTCTCCAAGAGACGGATAAGCCCAGCACCACAATCAACACGAGCAAAATAAAGCACCTGAACCACCAACGTGGTTGGTATCCATCACTTGACGTTCAGAACACTATTTCATAATTTGAAAATTTAATTCAATGCTGCACTAATATGTTCATTACAGTTGTGAGAAATAATTGAATAAAACTTCTCATTCCATCCACTACAGAAATTGTTTTTCCAAAATCAGACTGCCGCTCAAAGCAGATATTTAGTGCCTGCTTTGTTTTCTGTCATTTCTGTGATTTTAAAAAAACCATTGTACATCAGTCCTACACAGCGGTATCAAAGGACAATTACTCACTGGAGTATGGTAAGCAAAATCCCAAGTGAACATCAGGGAAACCATTTTCCACTCACGTCTTCCTCTGTGTCACCTTAGACACATCATTTAACTTCCTTCTATCCTGGTTTCCTTGGGGTTAAGTGATCATTGTGTTTTTTCAAAGACCTAAAATTCTCTTATTTCCTTGCTCTATTCTCAGTGTGATGCATTAACAGACAAGTTTCCTAGCTAAGAGCAGCACATTAAGATGATTTTTAAATGATGCATGGCTTCTCTATTTCTGTTGTCTTGGGAATTATACGTCTTAGCCCACACCGCATATCAAACCACAATTTTATATATAGTTAAATGATATAATATCATCTTATATTAATAACACCAATCACAGTACTCAGGATCAGAATATAGGACTGGTTTTATTGTTCCTAACTTTTCAAGGACATGACTTGAATTGCACACATTTGAGATAATTGAATGAAAATTAGATGGAGAATACACTGTTTTTAATTTGCTGTTTAAAAGCATCCCTGGATACCTAGTTCTGTCTAGCCAAGCTTGTTTCAAAAGCCCAGTGATCCTCTTGCCCCTCTTTCCCATTCTGAGAAACTGCTTTCAAAGTCTAACGAAAGATTCATTATACGCAAAATCTTAACGCTGAAATTCGGATCTTATCTTTTAGTATAGACAATGGATGTAATTAATTAACACATCTGACAGTTGTCTGCAAACCACCACAGAGAGGTACCTGCCTTTCTTATGACTTTCATGAAAATATCTTGAATTGAAATATACTAAGCACAAGCAGTTTAACCCACCCTATTCTGAATTTGATATACAAGATTAAAAATGCTATCATCTTGCTTGCAATTAGATGTTTAAGGAATGTGAACACTCTTTCCAAATCCTTTAGTTATCATCCTGCAAACCAGCTCGTACCTCCACTATCACTCTCCTTACAGATACACATATCCCCCTATACTCACCACAATGAGTTAAAGGTAGATGAAAGCTCCCAGTGGCAGCCTTTGAGTCGTTACTTTGCTTGCCCATTCCCTTCATTTTAGGTGTCGTGGCACGGTACTTTGCCGACAAAAATTCATGCTGTTGGGTTTACTGCAAACACCGAAAGAGGTGTCTTGCACTTGCTGGAGGATTTAGCTTTTATCCTTCTGGTCATTCTTCCCACAAAAAGAAGGAGACCAGTTTCTGAGCTATTCTTAACTCTCCTTGCAAAACAGTTCAAAAGAGAAAGACTTCATGATTCTCATGCAAACTCCCAGCCTGCCCGCCTGCCTGCTGCTGCCAATACTTCTTTCTGTTGCTGGTGATGACATTCCGAGAGCTCCCCAGCCCGATGCTTCTTATGTAAGACTGTCTAGGTCAAGTGTAGGAGACACACTCCTGGCCTGTGAAAACTCATGGAACTGCTCCTTCAGATTAACACTTCAGGGGCTATGGAAGCTGGAGGAAGCTGAGCTTGTACCACATCTTTTGGGGGTAAATATTTTTGCATGATTCAGTGATTTCTATGCTATAGTCTTGGCAGATGCCTGTCAGCCATGCTGAGAGGTGCAGAGAGAAATTACTAAGAGATTCCGGTTCTGTCAGCATGCTTGAATAAGCATAAGTCTTCTAGCAATCCTAGCTTTAAGACACTTAAGGAGTAAATGAATCATAAATTAGGGTTTGCTTATCAGGCATCATCTCTAACCATGAGGAACGAATGTTGATTTGACAGTTTAAGCTCTGAATACAAACCATTTGCTCCAAGGTGTTGGAGGAGAGCGTTATTAGATGGGGCTATTAGCTCTAAGAGATTTACTGCAGTTCTTGGCTGTTACATTGTCCTTGTCTGATTGCAAATTTGCTTCTCTTGCAATTGAGCTATATGTTTTCCTATATTTGTCGTCTGTTGTGATTGTCTGTGATAATATGAGAACGGAGCCTGCATAACCTGGCACAAATAATAAATCCTCTCTACTTAGTTCCAAGGTGACTGCTGCAGTAGGAGCGCCATTCGACACCAGCGCTGAATGATGCTGGGTCAACGGCATTGATTCAAACTGTGCTGTGTTTAGGGGACTTGGGGGCATAATCCCAGGTTTGACATGAACAGTTATTCACTCTAGGAGTAAAAGTAGAAGCAGTATAGCGCTGATTCTGTTTTAGACTCTCACGCTGTGTCCTGGTACAGGAATTAGTTAAAATAGCAGGCTTTTAGCGAATGCCGCAGAAAAACCTGGGGAAGCGGCAGGGTAAGATTGCGGTAGCAGGGTGATATTGGCAAGAAATTTTAATAAGATTTAACCAGAGATGATGATGGAACAGATGGCACCTAATTTAAAAGATAGGTGGATATTTAAAAAGTTGAAGACAGATGCAGCATGTTCGAGAAGTTTTGGCTTCCTGAGTGCCCTTGGCAAGTGAAGTTCAGTGCCTTAGACAGGACGTCATGAATTAGGCTGTGTAAACTGTCTTCATGGTGTTAAAGAGGTAAATGGAAAGTTGAATATTCGGTCATTGGGCGTCTCTACATGAGGACTGGCAGGAGGCAGGTTAATTAGAGCACACTCACTAAGTGAACAGGTAGTTTTCAAGTATCTGAAATTTCTTGCATTCTTTTTATTAAATTAATGGAATGAAAATGAGTGTTACTGAAATGAATTGCTTTCGGGGTACTTTTCACTCTTTTATTCATGATTAACAACAGCGCATTGATTCTTTATGATGGGAATCTATTGCTTATCATTTTATGATATATTTAATTGATTAATCATGTACATGTTTGCCCAAATAATTTGAAGAGACGGTTATGATCCCTCAGGGCCTGATTTTATATTACTGATGTCAATAGGCATTTTCCCCATAGATTTAGCATGGCCTAAGAGCCCCCTTCAGACTGAGTTTTACTTAGTTTGGCATGTAGAATATTCTTCATAAATGTAACGTTAAAAATAAAGCTTACATATTTAGTTGTAACTCACAGTCTTTAGCATAACACTGTCAGTACTCAAATTGTCCATAAATGATTTTCATTTAATACTGTTTTATTGGCTATTGTTAAAAGGGAGTCTTCTTTCTGGAAATGAAGCCTAAAAAGTTATATTAATCTCTTCCTTTCTAAAGCAAGGGATTTGAGTTAAATGAGGTCTAAAGTTAGTTTTGGTTCTGCCGTCTGTAGTTATATTCCTCTAAACGTGAATTAGCATTATTAATTAATCTATGCTGAAGTGAGATTACATTTTTTGGTGACCTACAACTTTTGGCCAATATTCGTGGAGCACCTACGAATGCTGGCCAGCACTTCTCCGTGTGTCATCTCCTGACCAGCAGCAGCAGCATCACCTGGGAACTGGTTAGGAATGCAGGTTCTCAGGGCTCGATCCAGACTCACTGAGTCAGAACCTCTGGGGTTGGGGCGGGGCAATTCATGATTTAACAAGTCCTCCAGGTGATTATTGTGAGGTAGCTAAAGTCTGAGAACCACTATACTGAACAGGACTTTGGTTAAATATCATGAAAATACCTTTTACTACATACAATGGAAGATCCATGACATAATGAAATTCTTCATTTTCCTGGTGGCCTAAATTTCCCAATGCAAGCAGTACTATATTTTAAAGATTTATGTAATTGTTTAGCACATCTTAAGCTTAAATTTGTCCCTAAGAAGCTTTATTTTCCAAAAGTTCCATTTTTAGCTTTTAGAAATTATATAGTGTGATGGCAAAAACACTAAAGGACCTCTTCTTTTGCTCACTGTGTGTCTTGGCATATGTCACTGACTCTCTCTGGTGTTCAGTTTCTCATTTGTAAGATGAGAGATTGCCTTAAGTCAGGGTTTTTCAACTCAGCACTATCGACATTTGGGTCAGATATTCTTTGCTGTGGAGTCTGTCTGTACATCATACAATGTTGAGCAGCATCTGTGGCTACTATCCACAGGGTGCCAGTAATGACTCCAAGTTGTGACAATCAAAAATATTTCCAGACATTAACACGTATCCTCTGAGGGTAAAATTGCCCCTCCCACCCCATCATGCACACATTCCCCACATTTGAGAAACACTGACCTGGGTTAACTCTCCTATGTAAAGTTTTATTATACTAAATAATACAACAAATGTAGTATTTCTCCTTTTGGAGGCAGATAGATTAAAAATTACAAATAAATAAACATGTCTTACTGGTATAACTCAACGTGTAAGCTGGGACCTGTTTGCCCCCTTGAAGATCTAGGTATAATTTGCTGAAATACCTGCCAATTCCATAGTCTGGAAGTCCAAAACCCTTTTGCAACTTCTCAGGAACTTAAAGTCTTATATCATCCTGGGTCCTGGAGTCCTGGTTCTATGAATACCACCTCATCACTCTAAAAATGAGACCCAGATTTCATCTGCCACTAGTTTCCACCAGAGATTTACCTATATCAATCATCTTTTAAGTTTAATAGATTTCTCCCCTTTGTCTTCCATCTCTGCTCCACACCCCCTCCCTGCAAGATGCTCTGAGAGCTCCAAATTCTTCTTCTGGTATGCACGGCAGTCCAGCTTTCCATAGCTCATATATCCAGATGTAAATGCACAAACCCATCAAAGAGTTCAGAATATCAAAGGCCTTCAGCTTAGCACCATCCCCCCTTCATGGAAGGCAGTTGGGCTCATACTACATAATCATAAATCATAAAGTCACTGGGCTGGAACAAGTCTTGAGTTTAAGATCATTTTCATGTCTTTAGAAGTCATACTGAACGATAGCTCTTGGCCCTTAAAAGTATACAGGTTACACACTAGAGTTTCAGAACTTTAAATTATATCTGCCCATGAATTGTTACCTCAAACAGTTCAGCAATTCAGTCCCAACATTTTCTGGAGTTGAAATGCATGGTAGAAATAGCTAAGTCCACACGCACATACCACAGACACACAGACATACACACACTTCCCAAGTGTTAGAAATTCTTTTCTGTATGCTGTACTACAAATTCAAATAAGTCTTGCTCTAAGATATCTGTGAATTAAGAAACTTAAGCTACAATGTATATACAAACAAAGTACCAGCGGCCAGCCTGGTGCTGTAGTGGTTAAGTTCACACATACTGCTTCAGTGGCCCAGGGTTCACAGGTTCAGATCCCGTGCATGGACCTATACAACAATCAACAAGTCCTGCTGTGGCAGTGTCCCACACACAAAATAGAGGAAGATTGGTACAGATGTTGGTTCAGGGTCTATTTTCCTCTCACACACACACAAAAGTACCAGATAGTTACATTTCATTTAATCAAAATAATGATAATAGCTTATATATGAATGATTATATCTGTATTTCCAAGTAACTTCATAGACATGACCCTTTCTGAGAGCCACAGCAATCCTATAAATAGGTCCCAGTACTGTTATCATTTTGCAGGTAAGAAAATAAAAGCTCAATATCTCCAGATGCCAAATCCACTTCTTCTTCTGCTCTTCTACAAGGCAAGACTCAATAGTGTATGTAGTTTGAACACAATGGTGGGTACAATTCCTAAGGGTTTTTTGATAACGACCTATTTCAAGAGTCTTCCTGCTCCAAAGTCATTCAGAGAGTATAAGGGCTGATATGTGTTACAATTCTTTGCTTTAGTTGCTAGGATTAATACATTTTCCCTGATTTATACATTTATTTGTATAATATGGTTAATTAATTATTCTTTATATGTATTACTAACTACTTATGGAATCATTTCAACACATCATTCATTATACTAGTCATAGTCACATGTATTATGTCACTTAACGCTCTCAAAGTCTCCATGAGGATCGGATTATGCTCCCACTTAAGAGATGACACTGAATTCAATTTAACCTAAACTTCAGCTTTAGCAGTTACTGCACTGACCCGGCCATCTGCTCTGTCTTCACAAGACCAAGTGGAGCCACAGCAACAGACCATCTCTTTTCACCAGTACATCCCAGCCCATGGCACAATGTTGGGCATATACTGAGTCTCAGTAAATGTTTATTGAATGAATGTTGAATTAATTATCATTGCTATCTAGTTCCTTTATATTTTGGACTTTACATAACATTTTTCAACCTAGTCAATTAAAAAAATAAATAAATAAAAATTAAATTACAGCAAATTGCAAATGAGATCTAAAAGGAAAAATCAAATTCCAAAAGGAAAAGATGGATTCCATGGCTGCAATACATTTGGAAATCTTTGCAACTCTCTATCACTCATGCTACTTTCT